TAAGTTGTTGATAAGTTAAAACAAAAACAAATAAATTAACGAAGAAATGCATTGCACGTACGAGGGAAATGATCATATTGAGCTTATAACCGTTCAACATGTCTGGAGAAACTCAGTGTCTGCTATAGAAGGATGAAACATTTCTAGCTTGATTTTGAATGTATTGGATTTTACAAACTTCTTTCTTCCCCATTTAGCCAAGCGAACAAGGAGAAATCTGCTGCCACTATCTGATCATAAAATTTTTTTGAAGTACACCCATATATATGTCTATTAATGTTATGAGAGTGTTCTTAGTGAGATCGTTAATATTAAGCCGAAATGTGGTAGGACTGAGGAGAGAGAGAGTCTTGGGAGACGCCTGCATTGATCACACGGGCTTAAGGAGACTGGTCATTAACGGCCACTTTCATGGACCTACCAGATAAGAAGAACTTGATAAATGAGAAATGCCATAGCTGGATAGTTTGTGTCGCAGCCCCCACCAATGTGACACTTTGTCGAAAGCCCTTGAGATATCTAAGGCCATCATTCTCGTAGCGGATTTATTATATCAAGCGCTTTTCTGATTCTATGCGTTCTGAAATTTAAGTCATCATCAGTGGACCCAGAGGAGGGAAATCTATACTATTTGTTATTCAAGAGGTTTCTGTTCAGGTTGCTGACGACCTTTCTTGCTGATGAAAATGAGGAGACTGATATTGCGACGGCGATGAGCGCTCACCCGTATTTTTGTAAAATGACGCCGCAACTGACACCTTCCATATACCTGCGAAAATTTTCCCATTCAGAAGGTTAAACTATTTTTAATGAAATTTGGGAATATTTTGTCTTAATCATAACTTTTTAGACTGTTTAATTTTGTTTTGTTTTTTAATTATTTTTAAAGTCTCATTGTAAAATGCAATAATTATTTGTAAGATGAATAAATAGAAATCGAAAGGATAATGCTGGTGTACTAAGTACGCATGCGCCTTCAAGTAAATCTTAGTAAAGATTTCTCATCGAAATTATAGCAACGTTTTGCTTGAGAAGAAAAGACAGTTTCATTGTCGTGGTGGAAAAAGATTCTATGATGAATTTTTGCTAAATTTTTAGCTAATTTCCCCCAAAAAAATTTGTGATAAAAAAAAATGTTAGTTTTTTTTATCCTCTTAAAAACATGTTGGGAAGTATGTGCTTCAAGGTTTCCTGTTAGAATACCGCCTTCCTCAGTAGAAGGACTATACATATAAGTTTAGACTCGTATATAAAAGAAACAAGACTTATTTCAATTTCCCTACAAAGTCAACCAGCAAAATTCCTCAGTATCTAAAAAAAAAAAAAAAAAACAAAAACAAAAAACAACTGTCGCACTAAGCTTTCCTCCCGACCTGCTTGCTTTTACTTTGAATCGACCTTTCCACCTTTCGGCATCCATTGCTTTGACCGAACTTTGTCAGGATCGTACAAGTAAACCCAAGTTTCATTTTCAGTTATAATTCGCCTTAGAAAGCCTTCAGGATTTGTCTTTATCACACCTCCATTTAACTATCCAGTCCTATAGTATCTCTTATTCCAATCAATGTAGTGAAATATGTGCACTGAAAGATATGCAAGAAGCACAAAATCGAAACCACTGAGAGATGTTATGAACACTAACCAGACACAGTTACCCAAAATAACGATGTAACTATCCTATGGGACATGCCAATTCTAACTGACAGGGAAACAAAAGCCAACAGACCTGATATTCTCATAAAAGACAGTAGGTGTATGCCTATTGACATAGCCGTGCCATCTGAGAGACCCCTCCCCCATGAAAATTATCGAGAAATTGTTCAAATACAAGGACCTGGAGATCGAGATTAACAGGATGTGGGGAATGAAGACTGAGACTGTACCAATAGTAATCGGAGCACTGGGCCTCGGGGAAAAAAAGGAATGGGCAATTTTACTAAGTGTCTGAGGTAACATCAACATATAAGTTGCCCAGAAGATCGCCCTACTTGGAACACCCCATATACTAAAAAAAGTACTATCAATTAAATGATAATTCTCCTATAAGACCTAAGGACTATTGTTTGGACCTGGCTCTGCTGGATACAATGTAGGAAACAACATACACAAATAATAATAATAATAATGGAGGAATCAGACATTGAGAGAACGAAGACATTGTATAATATTATACTGGATAATTAAAAGGAGATATGATAAAGCAAATAATTTTCCTTTGTTTTGATGGATATCAAGAACGAAAAAGATAAAACAACAACAAACAAAAAACAAAAAAGTACATGTCTGAATACAAGGTCATTGTTATTCTATTAGTTTAAAATTTCCATTCAAAGCTCTGCACTTGTCTCCTGGTAATTTAGGCGCAACTCTTATGCAATCCAATAAGCAAAACGTTTGTCCAGGGCAATGGTTCCTAAACGTTTTTTTCGCCGGCCACATTTTCGGAATGAAAATTTGCTCACTCCTCATCAAAATGGAAGCCGTGGTGAAAAGGCAAAAGCAGCCCTACGACACACAAGGTCCAGAGAGAGGGTTAAAAAGAGATAACCGCGGGTTCGAAGTCAGAACAATATCATTGATAACTCTCTCCTCCAATTTGCGGACTTTAGTTCCTATATTCTTAATACTTGATACAATGCAAAAATATCACAATTATAAAATCGGTCAATAATTATTTCTAACTATTTATACTGGGACTCGTGCATGCAATTACAAGTAATTCATAATAATATTTTAAATTTTGAAATCATATTTATTTTTGGCATATGAATTTTTTGAAACTGTTTCTAAATCTTTGATTTTCTTTCAATAATTCCACTTCATCTGCTATCCTCTTCCGCTGCACCTATGAGGCGTGCTGTACCACTTGGGAACAACTTGTCTAAGGTGTTATCTGCTATTTCTGCTGCTAATCGTCTGTCGCCCTCAAACCTTGAACACAATCGATTTTCCGCTTGCAGACTGATTGTAATGGTCTGCAGAATCGTTCGTCATCTTCAACTCGTTCTGGTCATTCTCTGAAACGAGTTATCCATTTGTAAATTGCTGATTTTTTTTTCGGGCTATTTTCTCCATAAACTTTTCTCAAAGCACAAAATGATGTCCTCAGTCTTCCAAACAAGTTTTACCATATATTTAATGTTTCGTTCTTCATTCAATTTCGTCAGGATTCATACTGTTCTGAAACTTCAAACTATTACCTCGAAATATTGGGCTAAGTCATGAAATATTTCCGTTCTTATTTATCAACGTAATTCTTCAAAAAATTAAAGTACAATTTTGCCCTTCCGCTTATCAGCAACAACTTGTCACTTATCAAGGTAGCTCTTCAATAGCTTTTGACTTACGGCCATATCACTTTGAAACACAGCTTCCCGTACGATCAAGCTTGGTTAGTACCTAGATTGGCAACTGTGAATACCAGGTACTATAAGCTTGGACGTGCATTTGGTGTAATGGATAAGGGCTCAGATTTCATAATCGGAGAGCCGAGTTTTATTCCCGGTTGGGTTCGTTATATTCAATTACGCGTAACTACTTTTGGTCAGAGGAGAAAATCTGCTGCCACTTATTATGGTTAGTAATTAGACTGATGCATTAGTCCCTACAATTGGTTTCCAAAAATGAAAATTACTTATGACATTACCTAATACTTTCGGTTCATGCAGATTGCAACCCGTAGAGTTTAAATTTACTTTGCTGCAAACGTAACAAATTATTGGTATTGTTTTCTTTTAACATGCTTTTTCCACGTGATTTTTTCAATGCGTGTCTTATGCTATAAATGCATGGTTAATGCTTTTTCTATAGAAAAGCATTAGCAGTCTTTTTTCAGACTGCTTGTTTTTTCACAACATTATCAGTGCTATGTTATTGAGAGAGAGAGAGAGAAAGAGAGGGTGAAAGAATAAGACGAATATTTCATTAACACCATATGTATTCTACCAATGACGTGTAAAAACTAAGCTATGTTAGTGTACTAGTGTAATGGCGGGCCCAGTGAGAGCAGACCAACCGTGTTCCAAAATGTTTCCCTGTGTTATTCTTACTTTATTGCGTTATCATGGAAGATAGCAACATTTTTTTTTCTATTGACGAGAGTACAGGACGCTTTTCGTCCAATCTCTTATGGACACGTTCCAACTGCTGAACGGATCTATATTTAGTGTTTCATTGTCTGTTAAGAAATTTAAGTGAATAATATCCCGATGATATTAACACACACACACACACACACACACACACACACACACACACACACACACACACACACACACACACACACACACACACACACACATTATCTTTCTTTTAGGGGTCAACTGTAGAAATGCATCCTTGTTAATTCCCTGCATTTTGCGTTGAACTTGTCATATGTTTGCGTAGTCCACGTTTATTCTTACCTGTCACTTAGTATGGTTAGTAGTTAGACTGATGCATTTGTCACTACAATTGGTTTTCAAAAATGGAAATTACTTATGACTTTAGGTTCATGCAGATTGCAACTCGTAAGTTCAAATTTACTTTGCTGCAAACGAAACAAATTATTGCTATCTGTATATATTTCTGAGATGAGGTATTATGTATATTATTTACATTGTTCGGACTATTGTCCCCATCTTTGTCGCCATATTTATTACTAGGTTGGTGCAAAAATAATGTCGTTTTTTGACGTTAAAAAATACGTCAAAAAACGACATTATTACGTCATTATTTTTTGCACTTTCGGCTGTTTTTACGCTCCGGCCTTCTTTCTGTTCGACATTCCAACCACCTGAAGAAGGCCGGAGCGTACAACGGCCGAAACGTTGTAATAAATATGGCGACAAAGATGATGACAATAGTCCGAATAGTGTAAATAATATACAAATTATTTGCATTGTTTTCTTTTAACATGCTTTTTCCACGTGATTTTTTCCATGCGCATCTTATGCTATAAATGCATTGTTAATACTTTTTCAATAGAAAAGCATTAGGAGTCTGAAAAAACATTATCAGTGCTATGTTATTGAGAGAGAGAGAGAGAGAGAGAGAGAGAGAGAGAGAGAGAGAGAGAGAGAAACAGACAGAGCCAGAGACAGAAAGAGAGAGAGAGCGAGAATAAAACGACTATATGGATGATTCATTATCATCATTCGGGCAGAGTTAACTTTCTTGCTGATGGAAATTAACTTTATCAACAGACAAATGAAATATTGATATAAACTTCCTAAACTTTATTAGCAATTCTTTCAAACGACTTCCAGGTCATCATTGAATTTTATCTCTTGAATTGTGTCTCAGTCAGTTCTTAAATATCAGCGCAGCCTATTCTTCAGCCTTCACATAATGCACTTTTCCGCAAATTATTGGCCTGATGGGATTTAAATGTCTCATCAGTTTCTTGCTAAGATAGTCGTCAATTGGGCGCACTCGACACTGGCCCACCTCCAAGATTTCAAATTCAATAACTATCAGCTTTCAACTTATAATGTACAAATTACAAATAAAATCTCAAAACTCATTTTCTAGTTAAGACCAATAAAAGGAGCAGATGTATAATGGGTATTCTTTACTTGATGTAATCTATATGACATTGAAAGAAAGGGGAGTATTTTCAAGGGGAGTATTCATAAAAGATATCATATAGGCGGACATACGCAAAAGGAGATAAAAAAACCCTGTAATTTTAGGATTATACATTGTTTTTTCTCGGTCCGAATCGATGTATAATTGCGACAAGAAATATAAAAAAAAATAGTTTCATACTGGGCTTTGGTCATTGTAAGTAATGTGGAAAAGATTCTTGACAAACAGATTTACATTTTCATGCATTTGACTTGTGTTTGATTATTTCATCTACAAAAAATGCGAAATTAAAAAAAGCTATATGTAAAATGTATGTATATATATATATATATATATATATATATATATATATATAGTTAGTTGGATTGATGAGTTTGTGACCCTGGATTTTACGCTCTCTTCGATCGTCAGAGAACGTGAAACTAAATATGTTAGCTCTATCCCTGATATTGAGCGCTTTCCAATATAAAATTCCATATATATATATATATATATATATATATATATATGCAGTTTTTTTATAGAGAGATAAAAAGAGATAGATAGATAGATATATTGATGAGGGCAGACTGAAATAGGTAGATAGAGAGAATAAGAACAGTTAGACAGATACAATAAAAACAGATAGATATATAGCTAGATAGATACAGAGAGAGATAGATAGAGAGAGATAGAGGGAGAGAGAGAGAGAGATATGAGCAAACAAGGGCAGACAGAGGGACAATCATAAATATGAACAGAGAGACATACAGACATGAACAGCTAGACAGATAGATAGATAGATAGATAGATAGATAGATAGATATCCTGATATATAAATAAATACGAGCAAATTGAGACAGACGGTTAAAAAGAAATTCAGAATAGTGGAATACTTTCTTAGTGACAAAACCTTTTAAGGTACAGATGTGATTAATTCCACACGATCAGAATTCTTTGCTTCCAGAATTCCAGAATTTTTTTTAAAAACGGAGAATAAGAATTAGATTTTATATTGGTCTTTTGTCATTGCTAATAATGTTGATTATGTTCTTGACAAATAATTTTTTGTTTTTTAAGTTCTTGACAGATAAATGCATTTTTTTAAAAAATCTGAGAACATACCGCTTGACTTTAACAACAATTCAGTAGCTAGATAGGAAGTAGATTGAAATATGTTTAAATATAATGAAAGTTCAGTTTATTTGCTAAGACCGTAATCGCTAGTATTAACTCAAGGTAAAGCTCAGTATTAAATTCATTCTTTTAGTTCTTGTTGAAGCTCCAAAAGGTCTTAAGTATTGAATTGGCTTCATTCCTACTTCTATAAGTTTTATTTCTAAAAATCTGATCTGAATTAATTAAAATCTCAAGGTGTTAAGTCAGTGAGATGAAGAAGCAAATATTAAATATTTATCATGTCTATAATACGACTTCAGTATAATACAATTCTTTCCAGATTCTATCATTCATATCTATAAGTCTCCCATTTGTCCAAGCTTAGAATATTGCTGCCACATATGGCGCGGTGCTCCTTGATAAAATCCAAAGAATCTTATTTAATTGGTCCTGATCTGCCGGTTCAACTTCGGCCACTTTCCATAAAGCCGTAAGGTTGCTTTTTTGTGTCTTTTATATAAATTTCATAGTAATTGTTCGGAGGAGCTCTTCGCTATGGTACGTAGACATTTTGAATTTAAGCGGGTAGGTCGGATGAATACTCATTTTTCGGCCTTTAGGCTGGGATCAAAGCGTGGTATCTGTTCTCGTTTTAGATGGGAGAAAGTAAATGTTCCCGAGGATTTCAATCCTGAGGAGCGCCTTCGTCATTGTACTTAGACGTAAGATCAGTGTAATATCGATGCCAGAGTGACAGTGGTACGAGGACGGGGCAGTTTTGTCCTTGGCTCCTATGCATATTCATGTATATGGACAATCCACGTTAAAAAACCCCCCAAAAAACGACCTTATGTCACACCTTGCCTTAGTGGTAAGGACGGGTGAATAACCGAAGCGGAAAAAAGTTTTTAAAAAGTACATCCTTTCTACAATAGTTAAGACTTTCTCGTAACATTTACTTTTATCAAAACACGACAGATCTTGTGCATTCCCTTTTAAATCAATTTCGGTATATTTCCTGCCTTTGAGACAAAAGACGTTCTATTAAGCTGATTATCAAAGAACAAATATTACCGATATAAAACATTTTTTTATTTTATGATCCAATTTACACTATGTAAGGCAGTAAAGTTACAAGCGGTTACTAAGTGTGAGAACATTAGAAATCAGAAGCATTAATGAAGAGTAAACAGAAAGGCAGTAGATAACGATTGACATTGCATTTTAATTTTTGAAGATCAAATTTGTCTGGAAAGCAAGAAGCTGGAAGATGGTCTCATAATCGAGCTGTGCAATAAAAGAAACTGTTAACATAGAACTTGCGGTTACATCAAAGCCAATTCAACTATAAACTTATGGAACCTTGTTGCTAATCTAGTACTGCGCTTAGATTCATAAAGTAAAGGTACCATAGCAAAGAGCTTATTCGAACAATTATCATGAAATATTTTATAGAAAAAACACTGGGAAGCATCTTTACAATGGTGGGAAAGTGATTGAAGCCAATATTGCTGATTTGTCTTTGCGTTTTGTTATTCAGGAGCACCAGGCCATATGTGGTAGCAATATTCGAGACGAATAGTAGACTTATAGATATGTGTTTTATCTATTGTGACATTTGCGATCTTGCTGTTTCAAATAAGAGGTTGTTTAAGCTGAATAAAAATTTCCGAAAATGTCCCCACGTTTTGCCTTTAGTTTTTGTTCAAAATATTTTTCGTGTTATACACAAGAAAATACAATACAATTTAATTTGACTTTGTTAGTTTATTGAATGACATTTTTTTCTTGACAAACATGAAGATTTTTTTGATATTTTCTCTCTTGTTTAAGTTGTTGATAATAGAAATCTCTTATTGTCTGACTTTATTCCAACAAGCTGCCAACGAAGATCATACGATAGTAGAGTTTTGATGTAGATGATGAAATAATGATTTTTATCTTAAATTCTTTTAATAAGAATTAAATAGAATATTAGGGTTTTTTATTTTAATTTCAAATTATCTTCTTGAAAAAATATATTGTAGGTTTCTTATATTTGAATAGCTTTTTGTTAGTTCTCTTTAAATATGACATTACTTTCCGAACAATTTGCTACATGGATAAATCAATAGAAACGTACATAATTGGAATATTTTCTTTGTTGCAAAACCTTTAACAGTAGATAAGATCAATTCTGAACTGTTAGAAAGCATGTCATTCATTGTCCGAGAATAAAAGACTTCGTTTCATTCAGGGCTTTTGCCATTGCTAACAATAGCGCTTACACTTTGAAAAAGAAATTTCACGTTTAAACATTTTTTGGGTAAGTATTAGGTTGTTACACATGAAATGACGCACTTTAGAGTAAATCAATAAAAAACTTCTGAAATGTTAAATAACTAATTTATTTAGTTAAAATAGACACCATGTTGATGAATGACTGTTCTCCAACATACCTCTAATTTCTTGATCCCATCTTTAAAAAATCTCACCCTTTAATGTGATAAATAGTTAAAATGCTTCGATTACCACTTCCTTATTAGAAAATGTTTTATTGTGTATGAAAAGCTCAAAATGCTTAAATAAGAGATAATCAGTAGGAGAGATATCAGGTGAATATGGCGGATAAGGCAAAATTTTGTAATTCAGGCTATACTGTGTTTGTACAATTGATTGAGAAGCGTACGGTCGTGCGTGTCGTGCAGCAAAGTTGGGCCATTTCTATTCACAAATCTAAGATGTTTCTTTTTCAATTTTTCGTGCATACACTCAATTTCTTCAAAATACTAGTTTGCTTTTATTGTTTTCCCTTGAGACAAAGATGAATAATGAATAACCCCTTTGAAAGACAGTAACCATTAACGTTTTAGGGTGCAGTGGAAGTTTTGGGTATTATTTTGGCAATTCACTTGCATCTAACCACTGGCCTACTCTCTTACTGTTGTCAAAAAGTATCCATTTTTCATCGCATGTAATGATTTTACGCCAAAATTGTGCTTTTTCCCCAGTTTGCATTCATGCAGTAAGATTAGTCGATATTGTTTCATTGTAATAATTTTCATTGGGCATATGAGTAACAATATATTGAAAGAAACATTGTCTGGAATGAAAAAAGATTCAGGAATAAATCAAGATTTTTTACATACTAAGAAGGTTACTTCGTTAGACGACCGGAACAACAACCAAACAAAAAATGCGTCATTTCAAGTGTGACAACCTAATATTTCTTTGTCTAAATTTCTGGGAATTACATTGTTTACATTCTTGTGACTTTTAAAGCGTTTCAACTGTTGCAACCTCTGTGGAATTAAGTAAAGTTGTCGACACCCGCTCGCATCCGAGTATCGGGATCATCATCCTCTTTCTCACCCCTAGTGACGGAGATAGCTGTGAACCAACGACAACTCTTCGCGACGGAGAAGCCCACACACTTGGCCAGAAGTGCCTCCTTTGCAGCTCAAAGGGGATTGAGACAGGCGAGGTCTGTCAAACATGGTTGCATTGGTTGTCGGATTCTTGGTCTGTCAAAGTCCACCATGGTTACGCCAGCCCGACTTGCGCTGCTCTCTTCCGCCGGTTTGGTCGTTTACATCTTTGCCTATTCTGCTGTTTGGGTTGGTTGCGTTTAGTCTGGTCCCGCCTCTTCAATCTTACCGCCATGAGTGGCCCTACAGGAACTCCAGATGTTCTTGGAAACATTGGGACAAGTAAGCCTTCTACCATGACAAAGAACGACCAGTTCGCTGTTAAGTGTATCAATTTGAATTAATGACAATAATATAGAGAACAATAACAGAACAGAAATTAAGAAGACAGTAGATACCGATTGACATTGCATTTAAAGTTTTGAAGATCAAAATTGATTGGAAAACAAGTAGCAGGAAGAAAGTTCTATATGCGAGAATTGATGAATGAAAACAAAAACTGTTAGCATAAAACTTATAGTTACATCTAGCTATTTCAACTGTAAAATTATGAAACGTTACTGCCAATCAAGAAGCTACGTTATGGCTGCAGGTAAGAGGCTAAAGCTGAGATTTCAGATCAGTCCTGATAACAGTTAGCTTATCTTCATACCCTGCACGGTGGCAAACGCTGCTGGTGGCGCCAGGGGTGGTAGTCCCGCCATAGCCACCGAAACGGTGAGATCACCCCTGGATGGCGGTTGATGAAGACAGGGTATCGCACGTGCTAACACACGTTGTATGTTAAAAAAAAGCAAAAAAACATTGCAGATTCTTATTTGGATTTTATCAGTAATCTCTAAGTATATAGCAGAAGCACCAAATTAGATGTGACAGCAATATTCAATGCATGGACAAATGATAGCCTTATAAATGTTTAAGATAGATTCTGGTGAGAAAACATGGCTAGTTTGACGCAGTGGGCCAAGGTTTTTAGCTAGAAATCTAGCAATTGATTCAATATAATCTTTCTATGAATCTGCTTTAACAGACGAAGCAGCGGAATTAAAACTATTAGTCGATAGCCATGTATTACTACACAGAAAAAGCATTACACGGGACCTCGTGATTATACTGGCAAAGGTCTTCTTTTTTGTACAGTGTCTTTTCGGGGTGTGGCCGAATAAGAATCTCTATCTATGTGTGTATGTATGTAACGAAAGCACGGCCGCAATTTTCGACGGATTTGCACCAATATTTGCATGCACATGCTCCAAGTTAGCGGAAAGGCCAAGGCCGACCTTGCATTTCCCAACTCCCATCGATAGTGGAAATAATCGGTTTTTTCATGCTTCTACGGCAGTTTTCATGTCGTTTGCGGCCATTTTCTACTGGCCAGCGTGAGAGCCAACAGCTGACTGACACGAATGTTAACTAGCATGCAAAAAAATCGATAGCTGCATTCGTCACATGTGGGAAAACGAACGGTATGGGAAGCCGTTGGTTCTAGCGTCTTATATGCACGTGTTTATCGTTGCTACAACACTTGTCTATATTATTTAATGAAACGTGTACGAATATATATATATATATATATATATATAGTGAGCAAGAAATTACCTACATAGGTTTCACCTAAATGGATGTTCAGGTTAAGCTGGCCGAAGATGACATGACAAAAGAACATAATTATGGGTAAGAATTGGTAAAATTTACTCGATTGTTTTTTTTTCTCTAGACTAGAAATTACGACAATTGGCGAGTCATTTACATAATATATATATATATATATATATATATACGTATATATTTATAAAATATTATATTTTATATATAAAAATATATAAAATATATTTTAATAATAATATGAAAATATACATAAAAATAATTTTTTAACTGAATCTTAATTAGAAATTGCAATTAATATTCATCACTGTATTACGGGTATTGACAGATGTAATGATATATAATATTACGTATAGCGTAAGACAGTATTGGCGTGGGTAGTGGGATGGCGTATCAGTTTCAAATTCCATCCGAGGCTATTGCGTTCGCTTTTGCACAAATACCCCTAGCAGCGACATCTAGCGTAGTGAGGGTGTGGCCTTATGCCCCATAGGGGCGGATACACGGCTAACAGAAATATGCAATATTAGAAAGGCCGAAGAGAAAAGAGGCTAAAGTTTACGGATAAAAACTACAAGAATGAGGATGTAAACTCAAATTGTTTATGGAATGATGTTGATATTTCAACTTAGGCTACCCCAGGCAAGCCAGTCCTGGATATGACGATAAATTACATCAAGTAGCGCGGAACCACTTCTTTATTGCTGTTTTTCTAGGTCCATCCTGATTTGGGATGGTAGCATCTGTTTGGGTCCTGGGCATGCTCAAATAGTGAACCCCCCCCCCCAGCAATACATTTTTATATAAAAAATACCAAAATACCTATTTATAGTAAAATTACCAGAATATCTATTGGGTTGGTGCAAAAATAATGTCGTTTTTGACGTTAATTTGAACGTCAAAAAACGACATTATTTTTTGCACCAACCTAATATTTATAGAAAAATTACCAACAATATTTTTTTTAAATACAACATGAACAGCAATACATTTTATCCGTTCAAAATATATTTAACTGAAGCCAATAAAAGTTAGTACAAAATATTTCGATTTGAATGACCGATACAGGCTGATATACCGTTAAACAAAAACAACGAACTGACCAACCAACCTCATGAAAGCAGTAGACTATATTAGTAGAAAGATAATAAAAGCAGAAGGATTTAAAATTATAGTTGGTTTTATTTGTAGAATAACTACTGTAAACAATGTACATGATATGAAAAATAAATCTGTAGTAATTTATAATGATTAAAGCACATTTTTAGCTGTATTAATTCTGTTATGATAACGATATAATGTGTCCAAACAAGTTAGGCATCTTATCCAATTACTCATTGTATTATAGTTGGGCGTTTAGATTCTAACTCCTTGCATATGCAGGCCCATGCCTGGTACATTAACAGACTGACAGGCTCCGAATCTGAAGACATAAGCCATAATGAGGCCGGCAAATGCGCGCCGGAGGAAGTTCCAGGCAGCTGTTAGCCGGCCTGTGCCACTTCCCCAGTCGTTCGTTCCCGAAATCTCGCACCTGCTTTTCATTAATGACCGCACGAAGAAAGAAAGATGGAGATAGACGTTTGAAAAGATAAGGAGGTTCTGGAGTGAATGTCGGTGAGGTGGTGTGGGGCTGGCAAGAATCGAACTGATTTTCTGGAATGACCTTAAGGCAACCAAACGGAGACAATAAAAAGATTGATCTTTTTTTTTTTTTGTTTTTCTCTAAAACACTTCCTATTTTGTATTAGGTTCTGCTTTGTACATTTTCTTTTGTTCGTTGTCATTAGGCGTTATTATTTTTCACGGCCAAATAATTAGATTCATTGTTTCCATCTCTACAATGTCATGGTTGCTTCGGCAATGCTGTATATTCGATTATTTTTTTTTTAAATCAATTCATCCCAAACAAGGCGACAATGCCACTAAGACGCAAAGGGTTACTGGAAATGAAAGAGAACGAGAAGACTTTAGAAACAGAAACCTAATCCTAAGCAGGGAACAAGGGATAAACTTCTACTGTTCAAAGCACAGGGGAGGAGTGTGAACCTGACGATACTCGACTCTATCTACTGCTACTGAAGTAAACAAAACAATAAAATAAATAAAAAATAAATAGACAATAAAATTTCAGAGTTTAAGTGGAGACGTTAGAAGTACAGAATTGAAGCAGTCTTTAGAAGGAACCGGAAACCTAATCATAAACAGGAAACAATGGATGAACCTCTACTCCTGTTCAAAACACCGAGGAGGAATGTGTTTGTGCAAATTAATTGAAACAAAATGAATAATTCTCTTATTATTTACTTTTTTTTCGTATTTTTCCAAAGAAACATAATTCAATGCACACGTTAATACTTCGTATGTCCATTCTCGATTGAATTTAAATCAGGAGAGTTTCCGGGCCAGGCTATAGTACTTTGATATGCTCACTGGTAAGGCTTTCTTGGAGTAACGCCCACTGTAGACAATGGCCGTAGGACAACTAATCGAGAGTCGAGACAATAGGGTTTATGCAGCTAACTCTAGAAGTCAAGATTTAATTAGTGAATAAAATTTCAGAGTTCACTCGGAGACTTTAGAATCATAGAGTTGAAGTAGACTTTAGAAGGAATCGGAAGCCCAATCCTTAACAGGAAACAAAGGATAAACCTCTACTCCTGTTCAAAAGACCGGGGAGGAGTGTGAAGCTGGCCATAGGCGAACCTATATACTAACTAATAGGTATGTAGAAAAATAGGAAAGAAAACGTTAGGTAAATAATCCAGGGTTCCTTAGTATTTTTGTTTTTATTTAAAAAAAAGCAGTGCTCTATACAGAAGTAGAGCTTAGATTATGTGGATATGTGGATAAAAATGGTCGGCCCAGCCGTTTCCATAGTAACAAATGAAGACGCTTATAACGATACGTAAATTTCAAAATTGGTTATTCCTAAATTTTCGCTTGAGGATGAAACAAGGCTTGTTACTTTAATTCAATTTAATTTTAATAATTATATTGATGGTTTCGGCTCTCGTTTTTGAAACATGAGAACTCTTATGTAGCGAAGGAATCATAGTCTGTCTATATTTCTGAGATGAGGTATTATGTACATTATTTACATTATTCGGACTATTGTCCTCATCATTGTCGCCATATTTATCACAACGTTTCGGCTGTTGTACGCTCCGGCCTTCTTCTGGTGGTTGGAATGTCGAACTGAACCTTTTATTTCGCTCACTGGGGTAGACTGTTCTAGTTGCACGTGCCATGTTTGATGGATGTCAGTTATTAATTATCTCCTGCTAATTTTCCCTCTGAAAGTTCTCCACTGCCTTAACCGAGTATTGAACTCACACTCTTTGGGTCCTGTCACTGGATATAACCAACGCCTTTATCCACTGTGCCATGTACCCAACCACCTGAAGAAGGCCGGAGCGTACAACGGCCGAAACGTTGCCATAAATATGGCGAGAAAGATGAGGACAATAGTCCGAATAATGTAAATAACGAAGCAATCATATTTTTAAAAACATAATTATAATACTAACTAATATATATATTATTTTGTTCATTTTCATTTTAGTTGCGTTTTATCGCAACGACCAGAGAATATTCCAAGACCGTTAGTGAGTATCGACATTGTCTTGAAATAGAGACTAAACCTCCGGCGAGACCCGTTGCTTTCTGAAAAGGAATCATTGCGAAAACGTTATCTAAAAAATATTCAGACGAGACATCTATTACTATGAAGCAATAGAAATAAGATGAAAGAAATACTAGTCAAAAATGAATAATAATTGCCAATGATTCACCAAAGAAATTCAAACAAATTAAGGCTATTACGTCTATTACTATTAAGTCTAACGCTATAGTAATAAGATGAAAGAAATACTAGTCAAAAATGAATAATAATTGTCAATACTTCATCTAAGAAATTCTGACAACTTAAGACTATTACGTCTATTACTATTAAGTGTAAAGCTATAGTAATAAGATGAGAGAAATACTAGTCAAAAATGAATAATAATTGCCAATGCTTCATCTAAGAAATTCAGACAACTTAAGGCTATTACGTCTATTACTATTAAGTGTAAAGAGAAATAAGATGAAAGAAATACTAGTCAAAAATGAATAATAATTGCCAATGCTTCATCAAAGAAATTCAGACAACTTAAGACTATTATGTCTATTACTATTAAGTGTAAAGCAATAGAAATAAGATGAAAGAAATACTAGTCAAAAATGAATAATAATTGCCAATGATTCATCGAAGAAATTCTGACAAGTTAAGACTATTATGTCTATTACTATTAAGTGTAAAGCAATAGAAATAAGATGAAAGAAATACTAGTCAAAAAAGAATAATAATTGCCAATGATTCACCAAAGAAATTCAAACAAATTAAGGCTATTACGTCTATTACTATTAAGTGTAAAGCTATAGTAATAAGATGAAAGAAATACTAGTCAAAAATGAATAATAATTGCCAATGATTCACCAAAGAAATTCAAACAAATTAAGGCTATTATGTCTATTACTATTAAGTGTAAAGCAATAGAAATAAGATGAAAGAAATACTAGTCAAAAATGAATAATAATTGCCAATGCTTCATCTAAGAAATTCTGACAACTTAAGACTATTACGTCTATTACTATTAAGTGTAAAGCTATAGTAATAAGATGAAAGAAATACTAGTCAAAAATGAATAATAATTGCCAATGCTTCATCTAAGAAATTCAGACAACTTAAGGCTATTACGTCTATTACTATTAAGTGTAAAGAGAAATAAGATGAAAGAAATACTAGTCAAAAATGAATAATAATTGCCAATGCTTCATCAAAGAAATTCAGACAACTTAAGACTATTATGTCTATTACTATTAAGTGTAAAGCAATAGAAATAAGATGAAAGAAATACTAGTCAAAAATGAATAATAATTGACAATACTTCATCTAAGAAATTCTGACAACTTAAGACTATTACGTCTATTACTATTAAGTGTAAAGCAATAGAAATAAGATGAAAGAAATACTAGTCAAAAATGAATAATAATGCTAATGCTTCATCTAAGAAATTCAGACAACTTAAGACTATTACGTCTATTACTATTAAATAAGATGAAAGAAATAAAAATAATAATTGCCAATAGAAATAAGATGAAAGAAATACTCGATGAATAAATGAATAATGAATAATAATGCTAATGCTTCATCTAAGAAATTCAGACAACTTAAGACTATTACGTCTATTACTATTAAGTGTAAAGCAATAGAAATAAGATGAAAGAAATACTCGTCATAAATGAATAATAATTGCCAATGCTTCATCTAAGAAATTCAGACAACTTAAGACTATTACGTCTATTACTATTAAAAAGTGTAAAGCAATTACAATAGAAATAAGATGAAAGAAATACTAGTCAAAAATGAATAATAATTGCCAATGCTTCATCTAAGAAATTCTGACAACTTAAGACTATTACGTCTATTACAATTAAGTGTAAAGCAATAGAAATAAGATGAAAGAAATACTAGTCAAAAATGAATAATAATTGCCAATGCTTCATCAAAGAAATTCAGACAACTTAAGACTATTACATCTATTACTATTAAGTGTAAAGCAATAGAAATAAGATGAAAGAAATACTCGTCATAAATGAATAATAATTGCCAATGCTTCATCTAAGAAATTCAGACAACTTAAGACTATTACGTCTATTACTATTAAGTGTAAAGCAATAGAAATAAGATGAAAGAAATACTAGTCAAAAATGAATAATAATTGCCAAAGAAATGACAACTCATCTAAGAAATTCTGAAAAACTTAAGACTATTACGTCATCTATTAAGACAATTACTTAAGGTAAAGCAATAGAAAATAAGATGAAAGAAATACTATTCAAATAAGATGAAAAAATACTATTAAATGTCAAAAATGAATAATAATTGCCAATGCTTCATCAAAGAAATTCAGACAACTTAAGACTATTACGTCTATTACTATTAAGTGTAAAGCAATAGAAATAAGATGAAAGAAATACTCGTCATAAATGAATAATAATTGCCAATGCTTCATCAAAGAAATTCAGACAACTTAAGACTATTACGTCTATTACTATTAAGTGTAAAGCAATAGAAATAAGATGAAAGAAATACTATTCAAAAATTAATAATAATTGCCAATGCTTCATCTAAGAAATTCAGACAACTTAAGACTATTACGTCTATTAATTAAGTGTAAAGCAATAGAAATAAGATGAAAGAAATACTAGTCAAAAAATGAATAATAATTGCTTTCATCTAAGAAATTCAGACAACTTAAGACTATTACGTCTATTACTATTAAGTGTAAAGCAATATAAAAAGATAAAGAAATACTAAAAAAATGAATAATAAATTGCCTAGTCAAAAAAGAAATTCAGAATAATAATTGCCATAGAAATAAGATGAAAGAAATACTTCATCTAAGAAAATTCTGATCAACTTAACAACTTAAGACTATTACGTCTATTACTATTACAATTAAGATGAAAGAAATACTAGTCAAAATGAAAATAAGATCTAAAAATTCTGAAATACTCTATTACAATTAAGTCAAAAATGAATAAAATAATTAATTGCCAATGCTTCATCAAAGAAATTCAGAAACTTAAGACTATCATTACTATTATGTAAGCAAAAGAAATACTTAAGACTATTAAGAAATTCGTCTATTACTATTAATTAAGTGTAAAGCAATAGAAATAAGATGAAAGAAATACTAGTCAAAAATGAATAATAATTGCCAATGCTTCATCAAAGAAATTCAGACAACTTAAGACTATTACGTCTATTACTATTAAGTAAAGCAATAAAATAATAGAAATAAGATGAAAATGAAATACTAGTCAAAAATGAATAATAATTGCCAATGAATTCATCAAAGAAATTCAGACAACTTAAGACTATTACGTCTATTACTATTAAGTGTAAAGCAATAGAAATAAGATGAAAGAAATGCTAGTAAAAAATGAATAATAATTGCCAATGCTTCATCAAAGAAATTCTGACAACTTAAGACTATTACGTCTATTACTATTAAAAAATAATAGAAATAAGATGAAAAAATACTAAAAAATGAAAATAATTGCCAGATGAAATTAAGAAAGAAATAAGATGAAAGAAATACTAAAAAATGAATAATAATTGCCAATGCTTCATCAAAGAAATTCTGACAACTTAAGACTATTACGTCTATTACTATTAAGTGTAAAGCAATAGAAATAAGATGAAAGAAATACTAGTCAAAAATGAATAATAATTGCCAATGCTTCATCAAAGAAATTCAGACAACTTAAGACTATTACGTCTATTACTATTAAGTGTAAAGCAATAGAAATAAGATGAAAGAAATACTAGTCAAAAATGAATAATAATTGCCAATGCTTCATCAAAGAAATTCAGACAACTTAAGACTATTACGTCTATTACTATTAAGTGTAAAGCAATAGAAATAAGATGAAAGAAATACTAGTCAAAAATGAATAATAATTGCCAATGCTTCATCAAAGAAATTCTGACAACTTAAGACTATTACGTCTATTACTATTAAGTGTAAAGCAATAGAAATAAGATGAAAGAAATACTAGTCAAAAATGAATAATAATTGCCAATGCTTCATCTAAAAATACTAGTCAAAAAAAGAAATACTAGTGAATAATAATGAAAGAAATACTAGTGAATAATAATTGCCAATATCAAAGAAATTCAGACAACTTAAGACTATTACGTCTATTACTATTAAGTGTAAAAAATAGAAATAAGATGAAAGAAATACTAGTCAAAAAATGAATAATAATTGCCAATGCTTCATCAAAGAAATTCAGACAACTTAAGACTATTACTTCTATTACTATTAAGTGTAAAGCATTAGAAATAAGATGAAAGAAATACTAGTCAAAAATGAATTTCTTTCATCAAAAAGAAATTCTGACAACTCTATTTCTATTACTATTAAGTGTAGCAATTAAAAATGAAAGAAATAATCGAATAATAATTGCCAATGCTTCATCAAAGAAATTCTTAAGTATTACTTATTACTATTAGAAGTATAAAGCATTATTTATTTCTTTTATCCCATTTGATGAATCGACGTAATAGTCAGGTCGTTATTCTTAGATGAAGCACTGGCAATTATCATTAAATTTGACTAGTATTTTATTTCATTTTATTTTGACGCAAAAGAAGTACAAAGATTCCTATCGTTTGATAGTTAAACAGTATCTGGTGTCGCTAATATAGCCTTAAAACACGATCAATACAAAGCATGGAAAAGCTTTGATTTTCGATGATAATTGTTGCGTAGTATAAGCTCTTGCCATCAAAGAATCATTTTTGGAAAGATGAATCAGATAGATGTAAATATCTAACTTCTCCGCCCTTGGGTACTGTAATGAACAAATGAAAAATGTAATTGAAAAAACAAGATGAAAAGTATTATTTCTTGAGCTGGTTGTGTTTAAAACGTTTGAGAAATATGCAAACGAATTGAGACTGCAATTTATATTCAACATAACATTGGCTATTCTCCCGTCGAAATAGTCGACGAAAAGTAAACTTGATCTAATACTACTTCGATAGTTTACTCTGCCTATATGTGGGTAGCGTTGCTGTGACTGCGGAATCGGCGAGCCGGGTTCGAACTCCAGCTAAGTTTGTTGCCTTCACTCCAAACGAATGCATTTAGGAAAGTCAGGAAGCCATCTCTTACTCATCTTTCAATTACATGTTAAATGGCAAGTTAGATTGGTTTGTCTTGGATTAGCAGCAAGTTTAAGATAATTAAAATTAGGCAACGTCCTATAAAATCCATGGCAATTCAAATCTTAATCCTGCATTCCCTAACAATTTTAACCTTTCTACCTGAGCTCCTGAGTCAAAAATTCGCAAATAATTGGTATGTAATGTTTCATGATAGATATAAAAATAGTTACAAGTGTTTACCCACAGTTCAACCGGTGGCTGGGCATTACGTCATTTTCTCTACCACTGTTCAACCGGTGGCTGGACATTGTCATTTTTCTCTACCACCGGTAAAGCGGTGTTCAGGGCTGAAAGGGTTAAAATATCATTAGAAATGTATTAAGAAAAAAGAATCTGTAGAGAGCCATGATTGCTTATATCCTGAAGTGTCATATACTTGAAAAGAAATGTTTACCCCCCGTCAAAAAAAAAAAAAAAAAAAAAAAAATCCCAACATTACGTCTAACGTAAAAGAAGAAAGAAGTTAGAGTTTACATTGTATAAGTTACTATCCACCGTAATTCAGTTTGGTTGTCTATTAATTTGTAGTTGGGCACCTCGAGGTGCCTCAGGAGGCACGGTGGAGTAATGGATAGCGGCTTGGATTGAGGAATCGGAGAACCGAGTTCGAATTCCAGTCGAATCCATTACATTCACTTCCGTGCGAACACCCTTGGGAAAGGTGTGAATCCTCTTTCTTCTCCCTCCAGCTATGGGTAAATAGCAGGACAGACTAGGTTCTATAGCCTTGGATGGCAACTGGTCTAGGAGAAGGAAAACTCTGAATTCAAACCTGCTCTTAGAGGAGGGTGAATGGAGTCTCTCTGAGCCTTGGTTGGCAATCCATTTAGTGTTGGTGTCACGATAAAAACACCCTTGATAACCCGAGCGAAACATCAAGAATTCAGCTATTTGACAAGATTGTGAACTACACCAATCAAAGTATTAGTGAGTTCAATCTCGGCTGAGGCCGCAAAATGGTGATGACTACTGAGTAGTAAGTTCGATCCTCACTGGGTGCCCCATACATTCGGCCTTGTGTCACACCCAAGCTACGCTTGGAAAATCTCTGTTATTTTGTACTTGAATAGGACAGATGAAATAAAACCTATTTGGTGATTTTGTAGAATGTATAGTTTTGTGTTAAGCTTTTTAAGGACGAATTGTTAGGACATGTTTGGTCATCGGACGACTGGCTGTTGAGTGATATTTGAAAGGAATAAACTTGTTTCTGTGGAAGGAAACGTTGGTTTCGACAAGTAATGCCAATGGCCCATATTCGATTATGCTCGAAATGATCATTGCTCTGTCGAAACACGAAAGAAAACTTAAAACGGTAGACATTAATCGACATGGCATTTAACGGGTCAGGAAACAGTCTTCATCAATGACAAAGTAAACGTATGAAGACATACACACGTATACATATGCACAAAAATACCAACACATATTTATATAGTGAGTGTGTGTGAGAAGGAAAGAATAGAAAGAAAGGACAATTGAAAGAAAGAATGAATGAAAGAAAGATAGAAAGAAAAGAAAGAAAGAAAAAAGAAAGAAACAACGAAAGAAAAAGAATGTGTGAAAGAACGAATGAAAGAAAGAAAGAAAAGAAAGAAAAACGGATGAAAGAAAAGAAAAAGAAAAAGAAAAAGAAAAGAAAGAAAGAATAAAGAACAAATGAATCAAAGAAATGAAAGAAAGAACGAATGAAAGAAAGAAAGAGAAAAAAAGAAACGAATGAAAGAAAGAACGAAAGAATGAATGAAAGAAAGAAAGAAAGAAAAGAAAGAAAAAGGAAAGCATGAAAGAATGAAGAACGAATGAAGCAAAGAAATAAAAGAAAGAAAAGAAAGGCAAGAAAAGAATGAAAAAAACGAATGAATGAAAGAAAGAAAGAAAAAAGAAAGAAACGAAAAGAAATAAAGAAAAGAAAGAGAGAAAAGAAAAAGAAAGAAAGAAAGAAAGAAAGAAAAAACGAAAGAATGACTGAATGAAAGAAAAAGGAATAGATGAAGGAATGAACGATTGAAAGAAAGAAAGAAAAGAAAGAAAGAACGTATGAAAGAAAGAAAAAACGAAAGAACAAAAGGTAAAAGAACGGATGAAAGGAAGAAGGAAACGAAAGAAAGAAAAGAAAAGAATGAAAGAACGAATGAATGAAAGAAAGAAAACAAATAAAGAAAAGAAAAAAAGAAAGAAAAAAGAATGAAAAAAGAAAGAAAAGAATAGAAAGAAAGAAAGAAAAAAGAAAGAAAAGAAAAAAGAAAGAAAAAGAACGAAAAAAGAAAGAAAAGAATAGAAAGAAAGAAAGAAAGAAAGAAAGAAAGAAAGAAAGAAAGAAAGAAAGAATAACTAACCCGAGTAATAAAACTTTCAACCTCCAATCGGGGGACATTTTTATTATAGGATCTTTTAAAGTAAAGTGTTTTCATGAGTAAATAGTAACTTCTGGGTGATAACACACACAGAATAACACACACAGACACAGACACACATGTACATACACGCGCGCGCGCACACACACGTACACACACACAAACGCACATGTACACACACACATACACAGAACCAAATAAAAAATCAAACAAATAGCAGCAACGTTTTTTTTTTTTTACACTGTTTACATGCAGTCTTTTGTCCTCATACTTGTTGTTATCACAACGTTTCAGTCGTTGTTCCCTACACTCTTCATCAGACATATGTTGATCCGGGTAACGTACATGGAATTCCGATCTAAACACTTTATTTAATTTACGGGTGAAGACTGATCTTGTTTCCGGGTCTCGGGATATCTCGCCTACTACTGCTCAGTCATTGCTCACCCTGTTTCCACCGAGTCCAAATACATACTGCCCAGCTCAGGTATTGAACTCACGATTATTATGTCACCAAATACACGGACCAACGCTTTAATCCACTAGGCTATTCAAACAGAAATCAAACAATGAGTATAGACAGTTTATACATGGAGCAGGAGAGACTCCTTCGAGCCGGGGCCGTTCCGAACAAAACGCGTTTGAAACCATATGTGAAAAAGCAACAATTCTATCCTTACAATTGCTTTGCGGGAAGTATAGCCAAGAGCACTTGTTGAATCAGTCGTCACCTCTGCTGATAGATGGAACAATCACGCCTCCTCCTTTCATTTATTAATACGCAGGAAAACATGAGACATAAATTGCATTACTGTAATAATCGATTTAATCGATGAGAGCATAATCGGAAGTGAGGCGCGAATTTTCTTCTACAGCCACGTGGCTCGAATTTTTAATTTTAAACATGGCTAATGAAAGAAAACACGACTTTTATGGCGAGAAGGTAAAAATCATTTCACGTTCTTTTGGCTTGAAATGGCATGACTTATTTGTTTTTTTTAAATACTACACTATCTATCTATCTATCTATCTATCTATCTATCTATCTATCTATCTTTTACAATTTCTTTATCTATCTATCTATCTATCTATCTATCTATCTATCTATCTATCTATCTACCTTTTCATTATCTATCAGCCTGTTCATATCTATCTATCTATCTATCTATCTATCTATCTATCTATCTATCTATCTATCTATCTATCTTTTTCAATTTCTTTATCTATCTATCTATCTATCTATCTATCTATCTATCTATCTTTTCATTATCTATCAGCCTGTTCATATCTATCTATCTATCTATCTATCTATCTATCTATCTATCTATCTATCTATCTATTTTTTCATTATCTATCAGCCTGTTCATATCTATCTATCTATCTATCTATCTATCTATCTATCTATCTATCTATCGCAGAATTGAAAAAAAACAAAACAAATTTATGATAAAGTGATTATTTGTAAATTGAGTCACAACAGTAGAATAACCAGATTTACAATAGCAAATTGTCGGATGTACAATATACATTTACTCTTAACTATAGATTCATAGGATTAAATCATGGACTACATGAACTCGACACATCGTGTGCTACAATCTAATACAGCAACAGAATAACTGGAATAACCTGATTTGTAATAACAAATGACACTGTATAATATACACCTATTCAGTCCCTCTTAATTGCATTTAATCAAAGTTCACCGTAAAGGCAAAACATTTGTAACACTATCCAAATACAAGAGTCGAATAGTTAGACTTACAATAGCAAATGACAAAGTATAATATACTTGAGGTCACCTTGATAGAATTAAATCATAAACCATTATCGTATGAAACTATATTTTTATTAATATTCGTTCACTAAAGCCACTCAATATAGAGAGTTAATGAATGAGATCCCTGATATGAATGTAATAATAGGAAGTGAAGATTATGAGAAAATATATATATATATATATATATATATATATATATATATATATTATAAATTAATTAATTTAAAATATGTTTTCTTCGCTACCCAGTTCTAACCATATTTCAAAAATGGAAGCTAAAAGCTTCGAATTTAATTTTGTAATTAATTTTAGTTCCATTTCATTCTCAAGCGAATTTCGCTTGAGGAGGAAATGGAACTAATGTCTTTAATTTAATTGCAAAATTAAATTCGAAGCTTTTAGCTTCCATTTTTGAAACATGGTTAGAATTGTGTAACGAAAAAGCATATTTTGAATCAATTAATTTATAATATTAATGCTCTGTGAATTTACATTGAGCACTATTTTGTAAAAATAAAAATATCTATAAGAACACCGGATTATATATCTATATATATATATATATATATATATATATATATATAAACAAATATATGGATATAGATCCGATAGTATGAAGAAAATATACAGAAAAACAAACAAAAATCTTAATATGCAATTATGCTGTATATTTATATTTATATTAACATTAATACAGCATAATTGCATATTAAGATTTTTGTTTGTTTTTGTTTTGTATATTTTTCATATATATATATATATATATATATATATATATATATATATATATATATATATATATATAGGATAGATAAAGGTTAATTTTTGACTTGAAGAGGTTAAGATTGTAGCATTAAAGGAGTCATCCATGCGGCAACCTGCTCGACAAAACAGTGGTTCTTGAGAAAAAAAGTGAGAGGAACATCGCCCTTGCAATTGGAATATTGAGAGAATGAGGATCGTCCGATTCTGTGGATGTAGCATGGCGAATCTTAGTTTCAGAGCTCTGAAACAGTGCAACTAAAGGATAGAGCTCATTCGAACATTTGCCATGGAAATAGCGACAGGTATAAAATGTCGCGTCCGTAGGAAAAAAGGCTTCAAGCTCCTTCCCCCACAAGGCCGCGTAAACGTCATTGAATACTATCAAGGCTTAAAAGTGAAGATTGTGTAACAAACTGGCTCTTGCGAAAAAAAGAAAAAAAAAAAAGAAAAGAAAATCATGGCAGCAGAAGTCTGGTACATTTTGGAGTAGTACACTGAGCGGCCATTTTTGAACCAGTAATTCCACAATAGAATAGCCACATTTACAATAACAAATCATACTATAATATATTTAGCTACCCCCCAACACACGAGGGTTACATGTGGCACAAGGCCGGGTTTAACGTGGGATCTCCGAGCCCGTAGGCTTGGCCAAAAATATTCCCTTTTTGAACCCGCATAACCGGGTTCAGGGGCAGTCAACCACCCCGAACGAGACTCTGACCTTCGGCGGAGCCTCGTCCGGGTTCCTCTCCACCCGAAGGCAGAGAGTCCGATATTTCATATTTGTTTTACTAATCTTCACCTAATACAAGGCCTAAGAGCCACTCAAGGTAGAGGGTTATTGTTTGGCGATGTATGAACATAAGAAAGGGCAATAAGCGAAGTTTTTGGACGTATCCAGGAAAGATAACAGCTAACTCCAGACTTGAAGAAGTCAAGATTTAATTAGTGGATAGCATTTCAGAATTCAGTCATAGGATGGAAGCAGAATTTAGAAGGAACCGGAAACCCAATCCTAAAGAGGAAACAAGGTATAAACCTCTACTCCTGTTGAAAAGTATTGGAAGGAGTGTGAACTGGACGATAGGCGAACCTACCTACTCCCGTTATGAAAGAAGAAAAAAATATTAGTGAATATTATTTCAGAGTTCAGTCGGAGACATTAGAAGTATAGTATGGAAGTAGACTTTAGAAGGAACCGGAAACCCTATCCTAAACAGGAAACAATGGATAAATTTCTAATCCTGTTCAAAAGACAGGGAAGGAGTATGAAACGAACAATGGTGCAACCTAATAATACATTTGAAACCCTTTATCGCGTGGCCGAATAGTTAGAAGGTTTGCTATCCAACTATGAAACCTGGGTTCGAATATCATCATGGTTGGTGTGTTAGGAAGGTAACTCCTTGATATTGTTAGCCTGACGTAATGTTCCCAGCATGCGACACCTTTGGAAACTTTTTTGAAACCATACCACGGGTTGACCCTTGTGACTGAAATTTGGTAGAAGGATCTGTTGGAAGGTCATCAATGTATGTGCAATCACAGAGTCATTGTGACCGAATGTTTGAGCGTATTGACTTTGTTTAAACTAGAGATCACGCCATATCATGTATTATTTTCCAGAATCTGTAACTTGGGTCTGATCTACATAGTTGCAGTATCAATCACATGTGGGCTCTATGGGTGTTACACAAACATAAATAGGCCTGAACTACCCTTATAACAGGACGAGTGTACTCGGAAATGTGTAGCCGTACATCTTACTTATTATAAAACGCAGATTGTGTGTGTGTGTGTGTGTGTGTGTGTGTATGTCTGTACGTTTATATATTTCCTAAATTAAATCGATTTCAACAAAACTTCACATGACTGCGTAAAATTACCTTGCGGTGGTTCTGACAGTGCCAAAAATTAGAAATACAATTGTTTTTGCATGAAATCAATTTGAAAGCAAGATAAAACATGATTCTGTCGCCAGAATGAAAGGGGGGCAACTCATATTGAGTTATACTTATAAAACCCAGGTTGTTTGTTTGTGTGTGTGTGTTCGTTTATATATGGGATCGGATTTCCTACATTTTTCAACCGATTTCAACAAAACTTCACTTTTTTTTGGCAGGTAGTGTTTCTTATTGTCTTGCAAACTTTTTTCTTTATTTTTACATTCAGAATGCTTTAAAAATTCCATTTACAAGACAATTGTTTATAATAAAATTCTATTCAATCGGTAGACTCATAACGATTGAAAACAATGTTTTTGTTTGAGTTTGGGTTTGGGTTTGACCAATTCGTAAAAAAAAAAAAAACTAATTAAGACATGCGTGTCCGTCAACCTTAAACAATGATCTTTGTCAATTTTATTTTTCAGTCTTTATGATGGTCGATACTTGATCTATCTCTTACTGTTACATCCCCGGGCAACGCCGGGCTCTACTGCTAGTTAGTATTAAAGCAGTATCAGGAAAAAAT